GGTAGGAAATTAACAATGCTTGTTGTATTGCATATTGATATCTTCAAAGTGGTTTCTTATGAAAACAAATCAGGCATGCAATATTGATCAATCAAGGACTCATTGACAGTTTCTTTCAGCAAAGATATAGAAGACAGTAGGTCAACTATGTTGTACTGGGAATTGAAGCCAGAGTCTTTGCACTGAGCTACATACCCAGTCTTTCTTATTTTTATTTTTATTTTCTTTTTGAGACAGGGTCCGGGCTGGGCTTGAGCTTGGGATCTTCCTGCCTCAGCCTCCCTCAGTGCTGGGATTCCACTGGTGCTTACGTGGACTCACCCTTCATAATATCTACGCCTGCTCCTCTTTCGGAAACATTAACAGAGTGGGCTGCAGTCGCCTGAGACCTGGACGCAGATACTCGGCCTGTGGCCCAGGGCCCGCCCGGGAGCCCAGTGGCACTGCAGGGGGTGGTGGGCCCTGGGGTCCAGAGGCGACCTCCGGAGGTGGAGCCTGAGCCGGGCAGGAGGCCGGAGGCCTGGGGTGGGACGCAGTGGGGGAGCCCTGCGAGACCACCGCCCCAGCCTGCGGGAGTCTCTGCCATGCTCATCCCCCTCCCGGGGCCCATTTTAGCAAACCAGACACGCGAGGGCACAAGCCTGCCATCCCTGCACTCCGGGAGGCCGAGGCAGGAGGATGGCAAGTTCGAGAGCAGCCACGGCGCTTAGAGCCTCAGTGAGAACAGGGTCTGAAAATTGTGAAGCAAACGGAGGAGTTGGCGTGGAGCTGACTGCGTTCATTCCCTAGCAGTGGAAAATAAAATAAAATAAAAATAAAATATATAAAACAAAGTGAAATAATAAGATACCCTCCCAACCAGGCTCCAGGGAACCGTCGCGCGCCGCAGCTCCCCGCGCGGCCGGCAGGGGGCGCGCGCACCCTTTGCGGGGTTGGCCTTGCCTGGCTCCGAGCTCACCGCTTCCGCTTTGGCGGGAGAGGGCGGAGGGCGCCGGCTCCATGCACAGGGGCCTTCCGGACCAGCTCCACAGCTTCAGAGAGGAGGAGGAAGGAAAACGATTCCTGTCGCCTGTGGTCCATCCCAGCACGCTGGGAGGCTGAGGCAGGAGGATCGCGAGTTGAGCCCACCCTGAGGGCTGGGGATGAAGGCCCTCGGCTCAGTCCTCAGTTCCCGCCACAGCGATTCTTTCTTTTTTTGTCTTTTTTGTCTTTTTGAGACAGGGTCTCGCTATGCAGTTCAAGATGGCCTTGAGCTCACTTTGTAGCCCAGGCTGGTCTCAAACTTGCAACGATCCACCTGCCTCAGCCTCCCAAGTGCTGGGATTACAGGCGTGAGCCACCGCCACCGCGCCCTGCGTGAGAAAGGTGTTCTGGCCCCGGGCTGGGCGTGCAGCAAGGCCCAGGCTGCCACCCTTCTGCGGTCCAGGAGCCCTGGGGTCACCTGAGCCAGGCCTTGCTAGCTTGGGCTTTGGCCAGGCAGTGTCCTCCGCAGGAGGGGGCTGCACTCTGGGTGTCCCGGTTGGAGCCGGACGCAGGCTGCCCAGCGGAGGTGTTCGCCCTGGGCCCTTGCTGGGGACGGATCCCCGCAGGACCCTCCCGGACCACCAGTGCCAGCCGCCCACTGCCTGCCTTGCCGCTGTTGTCCCAGGAAGCAAAGACCCGGCCCCTGCTGACGGGGTGAGACCTGCGGGTCTGCGCATCCCGCGGAGCCCTGGCCAGAGCGGGTTTCTGCTCACCTCGCGTCTGCTTGTGGGGTGCCCTGCTTGGGGCCTAGAGTTTGTAGAAGAATCTGATCTTCCTCTTTCTTTCTACCTGCCTTCCTTCCTTCCTTCCTCCTTCCCTCCCTTCCTTTTTCTTCTTTTTGG